TCTGCGGAATCTGAAGACAAAGCAAGAATCCGCTTCTGCAGTCCTCTACGCCGCTTCTACGGCTCCGCACCTGCGGGACCCAAATTGCAGGTGTGGTTATGACAGGTACCAGCTAAAATCTACAATCTCTTAACTTCAAAATCTTTCTGGCAACCCTCCAAAATCATCCCGAGGCCCCCGGGACCTCAACCAAAAGCACCAACATCACCTAATACCTTATTCAAACTTGTACAAATCCTTAAAACACCTAAAACTACATCGGAAACCCAAATTAATCAAGGATTTAAGCCTAAGAACTCCAAATTACCTCGAAATACTCTTTCGATCAAAAAGTCTATCAAACTCGTCCGAATGACCTGAAGTTTTGCACACACATCCCAAATGACATAATGAAACTACTGCAACTCTCGGAATTCCATTCCGACCCTCGGATCAAAATCTCACTATCAAACCGGAAACTTCCAAAATTCAACTTTCGGCCTTTCAAGCCTAATTTAGCTACGGACCTCCAAAACACAATTCAAACACGCTCCCAACCTAAAAATCACCCAACAGAGCTAACAGAACAATCAGATTTCCATTCCGATGTCGTCTTCACACTATTACAACTACGGTCAACTTTCTAACACTTAAGCTCTCATTTAGGGACTAAGTGTCACATAACTCCCCGAAACTCAAAATCGTACATCCTGGCAAATCACATTAGCAGAAACAAACTTGGGGAAATAAGTTAATAGGGGATCAGGGTATTAATTCTTAAGATTACCGGCCTGGTCGTCACAGAAATTATGAAAAGTGAATATGAGGCGGTACCTCGGTTGTGATTCTTATTATATACGAGGCGATACCTCGTTTGTGATTCTTGTTGTTTATCTCATGTTGTAAAGAGTTATTGGTGGAACACTTCTTGTTACTTTTTATTCTTCTCTACCTTTTCGGTTTTGTCCATATTTGTCTATTATGGTTCTCTTTAATTGCTTCCTTTATGTTATCTCTATAATTACAATTCTGTCATTAGTCTATGTTATTAACTTGTTTCATATTAATTATTCTATGTTATTAACTTGTTTCATATTATTTATTCCTCCTACCTCTATTACTTCTCATTATTATGTTTTCATTCTATTTATTATGTCCTAGTAGGTGTCTTGACATGTCCTCTTCACTACTATACTGAGGTTAGGCTTGATACTTACTGGGTACCATTTTGGTGTACTCATATTATGCTTCTACACATCCTTTTGTGTAGATCCAGGTATGTCTGCCCGTGCTGGTCATTAGTGTTTAGTTGTAGTTGTCATTCAGAGACTTCAAGGTATACCAGCTCGACGTTCGTAGGCCTCGAAGTCACCTTCCCTTATCTTTCATTATGTTGTATTTCTTATTTAGACAGTGTTGTAGTAGATATTCCAGATTATTCTGTAGAGCTTGTGGCTTAGTTCTACCGGTTTTGGGAGAGATATTGTTGAGAACTTATTTTGGGAGTTAATTTGAGTTTATCAGTCTTACTTTAGTATTTCTATGGATTATTTTTGTTAAGTTATTATTAAATGTTAGGCATACATAGTCTTAGAGACTAGGTTCCATTATGACATCCTAAGGTGAGAAATTTTGGTTGTGATATTATTAAACTTGTAAGAATGTTCAGATTGTAGCCTGAGGGGCTCGGGTGAGTATCAGACACGATGCACATGGTCTTGGCTTAGCTGAGAATTTGTTGCTAGCGTTAATCTATAGGTCTAGCATTTTGAAGTACCTATTCACAAATGCGAGAATCGTATTTACGAAACCAAACTCTCATTTGTGATACTGGAGGGGGATAGGTCAGCTTCGCTTTTGTGAACCTCTATTCGTATTTGCGAAGCTCTATTCGTATTTGCGAAGGTGGAGGTCTTTTCTTTTGTAAGGGTTTGTCGTATTTTCGATTGTGAGGGAATTAGGGGTAGCTTCACATTTTCGAAGTTGTGTTCGCATTTGCGGACTGCCCATGGTTTGCCTTTGCGATGAATTAATTGTTTTGGCGATGTTGGAGGCTCATATACTGGTTTTCAATTGCGATCAGTTGTTCGCTTTTGTGAACGTCGAATTTTCGATATCTACAACTAGGAAAAATGTGAAAATTTTGGGACATAGTTCATTTCACACCATTTTTGAATCCTAGACTCCATAAAGGCGTTTTTTGGAGAGTAATTTCTTCACAAATCAATGGTTAGTAATCCTAATTTATTTTCATTCAATTTTTATTACTTTTTCATGAATTTCATCATCAAATATAAGAATTTCAAAGTATAAATTTGGGATTTTGTAAACTGAGGTCGGATTTCAAAATAAATCATATATCCGGCTCGGGGGTGAATGGATAATCGAGATTTGATCTTAGTTTCGCATTTCGACCGCGTTTGCCCGATTTGACTTTCTGTTGACCTTTTAAATTATGTTAAAGATTGAACATTTTTCATACGAGGGTAGTTTTTAATGCTTGTTTTACTTATTTGAATAATATTTGACTAGATATGATTAGTTTGGAGTTTTGTTCCAACGAAAAAGCCGTGTTGGATTGTTGATTGTTTTATGGAAAGAGGTAAGTGACTTGTTTAACCTTGATTTGCGGAAAATAGGGTAGAATCGACTCTATTTGCTATGCCATCTATATGTTGGGGGTGACGTATATGCAAGATAACAGATGTATATGCGTTGGCCTTGGGATAAGCATGCGGGCAAAATTAGCCTTATTTGTTTAATGTTTGGAACACTCCTCAAATTTTAATTTTTTTAAGACACCCTAGATATAGAATTTAATTTTTATAATCTTAAATTATACTTCTATTACATATTTAAATTCTTATGATTGATTTTGAATTATTTTTCTATTTATAAATAATTGGACATACAATTAAGGAAAATATTAATATTTTTTTTATATTATTAATCATTAAAAGTGAGTATCAAAAAAAGGGGGGGAGGGGGAAACAAACTAAGCTTTTAAGAATTTGAGCTTAAAGCCCATATATCACTCCTCTGCCTCACGACCAAAACAAACCAAAGGCATAAAGCCTTGATGAAAGTCAAAACAAACACAAAAGCTTAAGAAACAATTTTACAGAGGAAAGCACGCACACACGGAAGTAAGAAACAGAAGCAGCGAATAAGTCACGCAGTCAACGGAAAACCTAGGGTTCTTTACAAATCACTTATTCTTGAACTCAGGTATATAAAATTCCCCATTGTCAATTATTCTAAAGTAGTAATAGTTAAGAATTGAATAGTTAATTCCCTTCTTCCTCTATATCATCAATAAATTTCATAATTAGGTGTAGTACTTTAAAATTGATTAAAATGCACTGGTTGTTGTAGAATCGATTATTTGACGGGTATAAATTGGACTGGGGTCAACCTATTGGCTCAAGGAGTTTTGAGGTGAGTTGATATAACCCTTTACTAAAGTGGTTTAACTCACAAAAGCATGCATACAATGTGTTTGATGAATTTCTTAAAAGAGTTTATCTTTATGTAATTAGAGCGAGTGAGTACCCATTAATTTAGAATTGTTCTAGCAAAAGTTTAGATGATCTATTATGCTATATGTGCTTAAATTTTCAGATTTTTGTGTTGTTCTTATATGCTATTTTCATGTTGAAAATTATGAAGAAGAAAGAATCTTTGGAAATATTTTTATATGTTTATTTCATTCTTATGTCATGCTTTACATTTAAGGACACCAATATGAGCATGTACCTAATGTTCTATAAAGAAAAGATTTAGACTTGAAAAGTCAAAAGAAGAAGTTTTAGAAAGAAAAGATTTTTGGGGAGTATCCTTTGTTCTGAGAAGGGGTCATCGTCCAGGCCGAGGGTCCTGACCAAGGCGTTGACTTTCTGAAACTACTTGTGCCAAAGTAGGGAGCATACGAGCTGAGGGTCTCGTTGTTGAGAATTTACTTAGCCATGCTAAGGTATGATACATGAGCGCTGAGAACCATGAAGCGAGTGACACCTCGTGGATTGGGCCTATTCGATCAGGTTGGGATCGAACCCGTGCCGATCACACGGTGATTGAGACAGAATTAAGTCAGGATAGTTGGAACTCCCAAAGTATAAAGTAAAGTATTTTTTTTAAGAAAGAAAGAAAAAAAGAATTCCTTTTAGAATATTCATGAATTGCTATTATGCAATTATTTTAGAATTATTCTTATAAGCTTTATGCTTTACATGCATTTAGAACCTTTGCTCATAATGTATATGTTATTAAAGTTTCTCCCCCTGTTGTTGAGACTCACTGAGTACAGTGGATGGTACTGACGTTCTCTTTTGGGAACCTATGTTGGTCTGCGGTACAACGTAGGAACAGGATTTGCAGGCGAGCAGGCTACGAGTTAGGACTTCCTTCCCTTCTAGTGATATTGGTGAGCTCCGCTTTTGTTCGTGGAGTATTCTTAGAGTCATTTTAATTTAGCTATTTCTTTGTTTATTTAGAGAACTGGCCAGGAAATCTCATGTCCTGAGCAGTGTGTCAGTTTATCAGTAGAGGCTTCATAGACATAGTCATTGGGTTGAGATTCAGATGTTATTTTATAATAACTTAGCAGTAATTCAGTAGTTACTATGAATAAAGCTTTGAAGTTGATTTATTTAAATATTTGAATTAATCAAAAGTATTTGTTTAGAGTATTGCTTTGTTGCATATAAAGTTTGGAGTTAAAATAGGGTTGATAAGCATAGATGGTTTTCTCGGTCATGTTTAGTGATCGAGTGCCGGTCTCAGCTTGTTCAGAAAATGGGTCGTGACAAACTTGGTATCAGAGCCTCAGGTTTATGGATTCCTAGGGGTCTATGAAGCCGTGTTAATAGAGTCTTGTTTGTGTGTATGAAGCGCGCCATACTTATAAACATGAGGATATAATCATTTAGGAAAAGTCTTTTTTTTTTCATACTTTAGATCGTGTAATAGAGTCTACCTCTAAGAAATTATCTAATTTATTCGTTTCTCCAAAACTCACAGAAATGACTCGTACTCGCAACTCTAACACCGATACTCAGGATGCTTCTCAAGAAACCATTGCTACTATTGTGGCTCAAGGTAGAAATAAGAAGGCTTCGACTCAGAAAAGGAGGGGAAAATCCACAAAGGATGTCCAAGTACCCCGGGTTGAACAAGAAGAAGGGGTGGAGCATGATGATCCAATACCTCAGGATCCAGTACTGGCCCCAACAGCAGCCCCGGCTCATGCAACTATATCTCCCGAGGTGGGTCAGATGTTTAATGCTGTCAACAGTGCTATGGAGATGTTTAAAGCCTTTATGGCCAACCAGAACGAGAGAAGAGATGAGATTCCACCTCAATTAAATAGACAGAGCAATTCTGAGTCCTCAAGAGTGAATGAATTTTTGAAGTTGAGTCCTCCAGTGTTCCATGGTTCTATAGTTGATAAAGATCCGATGTTGTGGCTGGAGGGTGTCAAGAAAGCCCTCCGAGTGATGAAATCATTTGATGATGAAGCTGTAGAGCTAGCTGCTTACCAGCTTAGAGATGTGGCCGGGGCTTGGTTTGAGATGTGGGAAAAGGAAAGAGATGAAGATGATGGTCCGCCTACTTGGGAAGAATTTGAAGAGGCCTTCATGGCTAACTTTATCCCAGAAGAGGATAGGGAAGCTAAGGCTACAGAGTCCGAACACCTCAAGCAAGGGAATAAAAGTGTGCAAGAGTACTACATGGTATTCATAAGGTTAGCTAAGCATGCTCCTCACATGGTTAAGACTGAAAAAACAAAGATTCGCAGGTTTGTGGGCGGTTTAGCTTACCACATTAAGGATACGACATCAGCTGTAGCAGTAGGGATGGAAGCCTTCTCCTCTGTTGTGGGATTTTCCAAGCACTTAGAGAAAGACAAACAACTATGGAGAGAAGAAAAAGAGCTTAACAAGAAAGCCCATACAACGGGCAGGTTTAATGGTACATCCAGCGGAGGTGGAAGGGATTCCTCTAATAAGGAGTCATTAGTACCAACTCAGTTCAGTCATCAGTCAGGTGGTGGGTCTTCCTTCAGACGTACTCAGAGTAATGGAAATCAGTCTCGCCAGAATCAGAATTTTAGGACATCATCCTCACATAGCCAAAATCATGCTGAGCAACATTCAGGTCAGTGCAAGCTCGGGTTTCATGGTTGCTACCATTGTGGAGACATTGGTCATATAAAGGCCAACTGCCCAAAGTTGCGATGTAATCTCAGTGGTGGACCTACTCATCCTTCTAGTTCCTCAGCTACTGCAGTTGCACTACCTCAGGCTCGTGGTTCTCATAATCAGATCGGGTATGGAGTAGGCAGAGGTGCAAACCGAGTTACTCAGGGAGGGGGACAACCCCGTCTGTTTGCTACACTTGATCGTCAGAGTGCAGAGGCATATGCAGAAGTTATTACAGGTATACTTTTAGTCTGCTCACATAATGCTTATGCCATAATGGATCCAGGTTCAACATTTTCATATGTGACTCCATACTTTGCAATTAACCTCGGACTAGAACCTGAACAACTTAGTGAGCCATTCCTAGTATCTACTCCAGTTGGCGAGTCAGTGAAAGTCACCAGAGTCTATAGAGGTTGTATAGTTTCAGTCCAAGGTCCCAACACCAAAGCCGATCTCATAGAGTTAGAAATAGTGGATTTTGATGTGATCATGGGTATGGATTGGTTTTGATTGTCATGCTAAGATAGTCAGGTTCCAATTTCCAAATGAAGAAGTCTTAGAGTGGAAGGGT